TCTCAGCAGCCCTCCGGCCTGATGAGAGGCTTCCGGCGTCTTCGGGTGAGGCTTAGAGAGAACGTCTCAGAAGGCCCGGGGGCTTCCGAGCCTTCTGAGAAGCCCCGCCCCTTCTCACTTCACCCCCTCGCTCGCCGCAGAGTTTCGATCGACCGAACTTTCTGCCAGCGTCTATATGTTTTCCTCGGTGGCGTCCGATTTCAGTGGTTCGCTTCGGGTCTTGCATTGTTGTGTGGGTGTGGTGTGTGTGTGTGCTCGCTTTGGACTAGGCCCCCTGGCGTCGGCTGCGGATCACTTCAGCGCGTTGCGTTGTTCGCGTCGCCCCCTTGCATCTGAATATTCAGCCTCAGCTTCAGCTTCAGCATTAGCTTGAGCTGCTTGAGCTCGATGTGGGCCTGTAACTCCGGAATTGGTTATATCTTTGGGTTCGCCTGTGGCAATGCTTCTGACTCAGACTTCTGTTAAGTCTTCGGACAAACAGCGCGGCATCTCTGGACACCCTGCTGGGCACCACCACAAGACATCGCAGTGCGTCTTGTCGATGTACACCGCAAAACACGTACTGGCATCGGCCGTGGCCTCGACCGAGAACCAGGTGACGAAGATGCTGCGCAGGCAATGCTTTGTTGCAGCACCGCAGGGGAGCGAATGCAACTTGCTATCCGGAAACTTCTTCCCTGGCCGGAGGGAAGACGCCATTGGCGCAAGAATCCCAATGACTTGTAGCATGGAGTTGTCCGAACTGACCTGCAGGCCGCTGGCCGACTGGACTGCGCGTGGGCCGCCAGCAATTCAATGTCCATATGCTTTTCCTCAAAACGCGTGCAGGGCCAGAGGCATTACAAAAGCACCAGCGCCTCCGTGGCGAACACTTTGAAAACAAGGCGGACCGCGGCCTTCGCAAGCCACGGCACTCCACACGGAGCCATCGTGGGGGGCATCCTCGAAGAGCTGGAGAGGAACATCCTCAAAGAGAGAAGGCTCGACGGCCTAATCCCCGCCGGACTTGGAAGTAAGATGGGCGTCGCTTCCAATGAGGGGTTCCTTTTGAAGAGACAACGAGTGTAAACGGCTATGACAGGGGCGCATGGCGGCCCCAATTCCTGGCTGCGTGGGGTAATCGACAGAGACGCAAACTTGGTACCGAGCTCGGATATGCCCGATGGAGCACACCCATCCTCGATAGGGCTGCATCCGAATAGCCCCACTGGGGGTCTCCCCAGAGTTCACAGTCTCTTCTGAGCGGCCAGCTGTTTGGTGAGGACAGCACAAACGCACCCCGACCCCCAGCCAGGACCCCCACTCCCGACCTGGTGATCCAGGGTATCCTGGCTGGGGGTGAGGGTTGGTTGTGCTGTCTTCTTGGGAGATCTAAAGGTACTCATGCCGCTACTCCCCGGACCTCTCCTGGGGTGAGTTCTGACCAGAATTTCGAGGCGAACCCTGCCTTGGCGACAAGGGCCTCCCAGGAGGCCCCAAAGACCGATAACGAGGGAAGGGTAGCGGTAATGTTACTCTTCTCCTCTGTTGCTTTGTGGGGAACTCGGAGAATGGGGGAGAGAAATTGCCTGCGAAGCGGATGGGCGGGCTGCTTCTGACTGACTCTGGCGCCTCCGCGTGAGGTGCAGCCGCAGCTGCGCCACCTCGGCGTCGGGCATGGCCAGCAGGCTGGAGAGCCTGTTCCCGGCTTCCCACTTCTCTTCCGCATCCCCTGCAGAGGGGGATGGGACTTTAGATGATGCGTCGCAGCGCCGTTTGCTCTCGACGCTCGCAAGCGGATGACGCCGACATCACGACAGACCCACGGCAAACCTTGCGTCCCGCGCCCCGAGTAGACGAATCAAGCTTTTTACGTCGCGGCGCGGCAGAGGCAATCCGCACGCGCGTCCGAGCGAGACCGGGACACGGCGTCGCGAATTAACCCCAATGCAAGAGGAGGGAGGAGGAGGACAAGAGAAGAAAGACAAGCATTATCCAGACCCGCCCGACTCGAAGAAATGCGACGGAGGATGTGGGCCAGTCCTTGGCCTGAAGGGACCCTTGCCGGGCTCAAAAAGGCAGTCAAAAGCGACCTGGGAGGAACACCCAGTCCTGGAGTCTGGGGTTGCCTTGGTGCCCACCCTGCTGAGAAATCATGACGGCGGGGGTCTGGGCAGGAGTCGGGGATAGCCAGCAGGATGGAATCCCCGCCCTCCTCGCATTGGCAAAGCCTGGCAGTGGCAGCAGCGGACAGGAGCGAGGGGCTGCAACCACGAAGACCCGCCGCTACAAATCACACCGAATGGTATACTACAGGCTCGCAAGTCTTTCTCCGAACGCCGCACCGAGGCCCCAGCAACACCCAAAAGACAACTGGAGATTTCCGCGTCCAACCCTGGCCGCATCAGCGGGCGCGCGGTCCAAAGGCCCCCCCCCCTTAAATTCCAAACGGGCTTCCGCCTGCGGGGGGGGGGGCCTGGGGTGACCCACTCCTTGAATGAGAACTGATTAAGGAGAATGGACGGAGTCTGGTTTGGGCAATTCTACTTGGGAAGTTCTCAACATCTGCCTGGTTTGGACGTTGTGTTGCCTGGTTTGGCCGCACGCCCCTCCTGAGACATCCTCAACATCTGCCTGGTTTGGCTCCTGATGTGGGCCCAATTTGGCTTGAGGCATCCTCGAAGTATGCGTGGTTTGGCCATGGTGTGGCCTGGTTTGGGCCCAGTTTCGCTTGAGACCTCCTCGAACTTTGCCTGGTTTGGCTTGGTTTCGCCGCGTTTTCGCTTCAGACGGCCTCGCACGTTGCCTGGTTTGGCATGGGCCGAACGAAAAATCAGCGAAAGTATGAACAGTTGAATACATCCGCTGTGGGCGCCATGCGGTCTCAACACGTAGTGGGACGTGTCACACTTCTTTCGACACTGAATGGGTAAGTAACAGACGTCGTGGCGGACGTGGACAAACCGAAGTAATAGCACGGCGTCATGAATACCCATTGTGGTCCACACGTAACACGTGCGCGCTACAACAGGGCGGGCGGCATGAGCGTGGACATTCCCAACATGTTGTGAATCGGTACGGGCGTGCGTGGCGGCGTTTGGAGCAAAACTTTCCGAGGCTGTCGCGCCGATGATGAATTCAGGCTCCCGAGAGTTGCATACTAAAGAGGGGGGATAACCAGGAGCTGTCGCACACACACGCACACGAGCAGTCGAAGCAGATCGGCGCGCTCGGCTGCACTGCCGCAAAACACAACTCTGGGTGCTTGCCAGGATGGCCAGGAATGTCGAGGCAGACAAAAAGAGGTGGATGTCATAAGGGCTGGGGTTGACGGACCAGCTGGGTGCAGAGCTACATTTTGTTTTTTGTCCACCGCCCCTCGGCGCCGAAAGCGGCCACGCGCTGGAGGGAAATGTCCTGCGGCGTGGCCGAATGAGACCGGTTGCACCCAACAGACTTCGGAGTCCCCCCTCCCTTTCCCGGCCGTTCTCTGTCGTCCGCCCCGAGAATGGCCGGGGATGGGAACCTCCTTGAACGGGGACGGAGCACACGGGGCCCGCGTCGGCGGGACCCTGAGATCCGACGTTGCAACAAAAATGCAACATCGCAAAAAATCACGACCAGACCCCAGGACCCAATCTTTCTGCGTCATCTTTTGGAGTGGGATCGACCTGTGAGGGCCCCGGGGCCCGAGAGGGAGCGAAAGCGCCCGCCTCGAAAAAACTGGGCCGCCAGGATCTCAGGGGAAGGGAGCCTCCTGGAACGGGGCTGGGGCCCGCGGGGCCCGCGGCGGCGGGACGAAGAGAGAGTCGGCATCCAGATCGCGCCGCAGCGCCGATGCTTCGGCGGTGCGGCGCCAGCCTCCGACCCCACGCGCTGCGGCCCCAAAATGGGAGGCGCACCGTCCGCCGAGGAGACATCCCCAAACACACACTCCTCCGAGGACAGGAGCTGTTCAGGGCGTGGCGGCTCCGCCAAGGTCTGGGCCCCCGTACTGGCTGGAGCAGGGACCGACCGTCCCGGCCATTCCCACAGGCCTACCACGACATGTTCTTAGACAAAAGCTCCCTAAGGAAAAAGCTGTGTCCTCAGAACATGAGCCCGGCTGGTTACAACAAGACGGTCTCAGCCAGAAGCGTTCTAAGAACAGCTCATGCAAGCCACAGAAAGGTTCTCAGAACAGTCCTTGGTGGGTCTACACAGGCGAGCCAGAACGCTGCGCCACTGCCCGATTTACGGGGACTGGCCGTTTCATCCCGACTCTTAGGTCGGGCGTGTCCCCCTGCAGGCGGATTTGGGACGAAAAATTAAAACAAAATATAAGCACAGATTCAACAATAGTCCAAACATCGCCCCCGGATGATTTCTTGCCTATTTGGGAATCCTTCTCCTGCAAAAGGACAGGCCCGACTTGACCCGAGCCCTCCACGACGCGGGGATGCCAGGGATTGGGGGGAGGGGCAGGGAGACAGGCGCCTGTGGGCCCGGGGAAGCAGCGAGCAGGCAGAAGACCAGGCCCGGGCAGCGATCCACTGGGACTTCCTCGGAGACGGCGGGCCCCGAGGCTGCACCGGCCGCCGATAACGCCGCTCCAGAGCGAGAGGCAGGGGCCAAGCTCGGCAAGCCGGCAGCGACCTTCCAGGAGGGCGTCGCCTGCGACACGCTGGGGAACTCTGGCCTAGCAGGTCCCTCCGCCGGCTCCGGCCCACCACGCTTCGGCGCGGCACGCTACACACTTCCCGGCCCCCGCGCGTCAACGTCCCGAGCTCTTCCTGGCCTCCCCGCACGCCGAGCGGAGCGACACGCTAGCCGCTCGACGGGAATCGCGTGTCGCTGGGGCCGCCGCCGCGACCACATGCACCACTTTGCTGGGGAAGGCCTGGCTTTCGAACGGACCCGAAATGATGGGCCCAACCCTGGGATATAATATGGGGGGCGTCCATCCTCGATAGGGGTGCGTCGAATAGCCCCCTTGGGAAATAATATCTCAGGGCTGCCCCCCTTTTCTGGGTGGCTTCATGTTATGCCGAAAAGTCGAGAGCTGGGAGAGAAAACTCATCTGCGAGGAATCGGATCCGATCGAAATCCAATCGAGCCGAGTCGGAGGAGTCGGAGTGAGGCCTGGAAAGGCGGGGCGGCGGACCCGCCTCCCGCCGCACGCCGCCCGGAGCGTCGCATAGAGGTCCTCCAGGCCCGCCCAGCGGAGGAAGACGCGCAGCTCCGCCTGGTCCTGCAGGCGCCGCGCGCTGCCCCGACGCCGAGCGAAGCGATCCAAGACGAAGCCAGGACGGGGATCAAATCGGGCGAGGATGAACCGAGCATCCCTGAGATCCGGCGGCCCTGGAGTATGTCTCGGGCGCCGCGGACTTCTCAGAGCGTTCCGAAACGCTCAGAGAGCGTGCCGAAAAACGCTCTGCAACGGACCTATCCTCGTCCTGGCCCCGTGCAGAAGCGATCGCCTCGTGCGTGAGCGCTCGCGCCGGGCACAGTGAACAATGGCACACGCCATGCACAGCGCAAAGCATGGACACTGCTTAGAGTCAAGAGAATCTTGAAGTAGAAGATGGTTTTCCCTCCAGAGAGTTTCCTTGAACCGTAGTCTGTGTCCAGGTATACAGACATCCTACATACAAAAAAAAGCTCCAAGGAAGCGCCCAGGGTCAAGTCCAGATCTGGAGTCCATGTCAGTTCGCTGTGTTTCTACACATCTTTTGATGGGTGTACGTAGCACCCCGCTCTAGCGGATAAAAGTAAGGAGGCGAACGCAGGTTGGGTTGCGGGCGGGTCGCGGGGTGAATCGCGGGGTAGGTCGCGGGAAGGTCCCCGGCGGGTCGCGGGCGAGGACGGCGACACCGCAACAACAACAACAACAACAACAACAACAACAACAACAGCATCAACAACAACAACACAACAACGAGAACAACAACAAAAAAAATATTAAAAAAACATGCAGACCACCCAAACAGAACACCACTTCTGCCAGGCACCCACGGGTAAAGAATGATCGCTCGGCCCCCTCACTTTGACATACGAGGAGCGCGTGCGCAGCAGGACAGCAACGAGGAAGCATGAAAGGTGGGAGGGAAAAATTGCCCACCAAGGCATCGAGCTAGGTCGGGCATGTCCTCCTACAAGTGGATATTGGAAACCATATTATTGTTGTTCAAAATCGCTATATATATATATATATATATATATATATATAGATATCAAACATGGTCACAAGAGCACGAGAAATCGTCCTCATACGATTCTTTACTACAAGTAAATAAGCGACCGACTCGCTTTCCTATCATTGGCGGCAACCTGGCTGGCTGGAAAGTGGGCTCGGGGGAGCGCGCTGGGCCACTCCCAGACCTCCGGCGTCGCGATTTGTTCGCAACATGGACTCCTGGAGGTCTGGACCTCTTCCCGGGGACCGGCTTTTCATCACGAGCCAGTTTTGACAGTCCCGGGGCCAGGGAGGGGCCGCACGGGGCAGCCAAAATGACACAACCGTTCGTCGCGTTTTTATTTCCCCAAAGAAAGAAAATTTGGCTGAGCCAACTTGGGAGGGGGGCCAGGCCCACCGGGCAGGCGTTAGCGGCGCGCCCATTTGAGTGTAGATTCTCCCCTCCTGCAGGCTGCCGCGGATCTTCTTTCCTAATCCCTATGCCCCCCCTCCACCCTCCCCCTCCCGCTCCTCCGTCTCCTACCTCTCCCCCCTCATCCATCCCCCATCCTTCTCTCGCCCATGTTGCCTCTCTCCTGACCTCCCCATCCATGTTCCTTATACATAACTCCTCCGTGTAGCAGCCCGAGACGTGTCGGTAGGGCGGGCCGGGCGTTTCGCCAGAGACGTCCTCACCATGTACGATCCTGAAGCTTAAACTCTGAAGCGGCTTCACGGATGGCGGGCGGGTCGCCTTCAGAATGCTTCTCGCCTTAGCGCCGCGCGTATTCGTCTTAAAAGGTTGCAGGAGCTTCACGGATGAAGGGCGTGTCGCTTTCAAATTGTTTCTCGCCTTCGCGCCGGTCACATTTGTCAAAGTTTGCCGCAACTGTAGCGCTGATTCGCGGTTTTGAACTCCCAGGAATGGTGTTGTGGCACGGTTGAACATTCACAGACGGTTGTCTTCCAACAGGGCTCTTCCCGCAGTGAAGATGACTCCTTGCAGGGGCCTGCGAAGAGGGATCGTTGATGAATCTTGGGTTTGCGCTTGCCCTCTTCCTACTCCGCCTCATCTTCCTCCTCCTCGTTCCCCTTCCTTCCCTCCCTCTCTATCCCCTCCCTCCCCCTCCCTGCTCATTCCTCCTCCCCCTTCGACAACTACGCATTTTGAGTACTGCTTACTCTCCCCTCTCCCCCGAAGATGTCTGGGACATCTCTGGCCCTCTCTGCGTATGGTTTTGACACACAGGACCGCATTTGTTATTTTTGTTCCTGTGCTTTTGTCTCATCCATCCTATTCTATTCGGTGTTTCTAAATGGTGTTCCCGCTGCAGTGTCGCCTCACTCTCGGATCGGCGCTGTACTCGCGTCGTTCAGAATGGCGCTCTCGCACCAGAACGGGCCACTTTTATGGATCCGAGTCCTTTTATCCATCGTTGTCGCCCCCCCCTTGTTTCCTCTCCTCCGCCTCCCCTTGGTCCTCCTACTCATCCCACTCCTTCCGCTCCAGATCCTGCTGCTGCTGATGCCCGTCCTCGTCCTCCTACTTCCCCATCCTCCTCCATGTCGTCCTCCGTTCAGTTCCCTTGAAACGAATCCACCCTGTCGTACCCCAAGGCGCATCGATAGGGCGGGCCAGGCGTTTCGCCTGAGACATCCTCACCATTCATGATCCCTCAGCTGGAATCTGCCAGTGATTCACGGATGAAGGGCGGGCCGTTTTCAAAATGTGGCTCTCGCCTTAGCGCCGCGCAAATTCGTCTTGAAAGTTCGCGCGAGCTTCACTGATGGAGGGCGTTTCCTTTGCAACATGCGGTTCTCGCCTTCGCGCCAGGCACTCCCCTTTGAACAACTTGCAAAACCTTCAAGGGTGGAGAGCGGTTCCTTTTCAAAACGGGTCTCTCGCTTCAGCGCAGCGCACAGTCCTTCTAAGATTTTACAGCGGTTTCACGGATTCTCATGGCTAACCTCCCAGAAAACATGTGTTGGCACGATGTCGGCTTGTCAGGGCGCAACAGGTATGTTGAATCACGGTGACGAGATCGCAGGAATGATGCCATGGTACGATTCAGAATCGTCAAGACGCAACAGTAACGGTGATTCGCGGCGCTGAAGTCCCAGGATTGGTATCCTGGCACAGTTCCGGATTGTTTAACGGGTGTCTTTCAACGGGGCTCTTCTTTAGTGAAAATGAACCATTGTAGTGGCCTTTGGGGAGGGAGCGTGGAGGGAGGGTTTACTGCAGCCTCCGTCTCTCCCTCTCCGCTACCCTCCCTGCTGATTCCTCTTCACCCTCCCACAATCACACACTATAAATTCTCTTCTCTCTCTCCCTTGAGTCTGCCTGGGAGGTATCTGGCCCTCTCCGCGCATGGTTTTGACGCGCAGGATCGCATTACAGTTTCATGTGGTTGTTCAATCCGAATGTGTTCGGTGTTTCGACAAGGTGCTCCCGCTGCAGCGGGTGCCTCATTTTTCGGTGCTGTGCTCCCGTCGTTCACAATGGCGCTCTCGGACCTGCGCGGGCCACTTGTATAGGTCCGAATCATGTCTCACCGCTGTCACCCACCATATGACCTCTTCCGCCTTCCCTGGTCATCCTGCATCTCCCACTCCTTCCACTCCAGTTCCTGCTGCAGCTGTTCGTCATCGTCCTCCTCCTTCCTCACTCATCCTCCTATTCCTCCTGCTCATCCTCCTGCTCACGTGACACCACCTCCTCATCTCACCTTTTCCGAATGCGCATTCCGACTGCGCATAGCACGATGGTTGTTTATCGGACTTCCAGGTCGGCTATGACACGAGTCCGCGGATAGAGACAAATTGGCGCTGTGGGAAGTGACGAAAGGGATGGGTAAGACGTCAGCGCACTAGCTTTCCACTCCTCCTCTCTCCGTCCTCCCCCGCCACTGTAGCCGGCGTCTTGCAATTGCAGTCGTCGTCGTCGTCGTCGTGGCGATATTCCGCTCGAACTCGACCCCTGCTCCTAAGCCCCATCCAGGCCAGTTGTCGCCTCGACCCCAAACCCCTCCCAGGCTTCATCCAGGCCAATTTTTTGATTGTACCGGGGCCCCAACTAGATCGTAGAGGCGGGACATATATTGAAAAACCTCCATCGTCGTCGCAGCTGTGGAGGTGACCGTCGCCGTCGCTACCCCCGTTGCCGCCGCCGCGGCCGCCGACGCCGTGGTTCTGTCCCAATTCCGCTCGAAATCGGCCCCTGAACCCTCCTCTCGAGGTCAATCAAAACCGATTTCCCGCCCTGGATCGATTTCTCATGGCTCGAAACGGACCCCTGCAGGCTCGAACATACCTGTTTTTACTCATCCTCAGGGGCTGTGGTCACGAACGCGTGGTACGAAAACAGAATGCGTCAGCATGAATTGCAAACGAGCTTATGTCGAATGCGCTCGAACCGAAGCCGCGAGATCAGGGGCGGCAAGGGCCAGGCAGCGACGAACGAGCCCGAAACACACACACACACACACACACGCACTTTCCTCCGCCGGCCGAGTGACGTCACCGCAGCGGTCGTCGATGTCGTCGCCGTCGTCGCCGCCGGCGCCGCCGGCGCCGCCGTGTCTGGGGAAACCAAACGGTACCGACACCGCTGCTCCCCAGACCTCTCCCGGGGTGCATGCTGACAACGATTTCGAGGCGAATCCAGCAGTGGCGACGAGGGCCTCCTAGGAGGCCCAAAAAGAGAAAACGAAGGAAAGGTAGCGGCATGGGACCTTTTCCTCCTCGGATCGTCGTCGTCGTCGTCGTCGTCGTCGTCGTCGTCGTCGTCGTCGTCGCAGTCGGCCGCGGGGAGGCGTCCTGCAGGGTGCCGGCCGCCCCGAGCGCGGCAGGCGGCTCCTCGCCGCCCTCCGCGCCGAGGGCCGCCGCGCCCGCGCTCGCCTGGCGGCGGAGCGGAGGGGCAGCGATGACGAGGGCGACGAGCGCGAGGGCGACGATGGCGACGACGGTGACGACGGTGACGACGGTGGCGAGGACGAGGACGAGGACGAGGAGGAGGAGGGCGGTGACGGGAGATGAGGTCGACGACGGCAACGCTGGCGACGGTCATGATGGTGACGAGTGGTGATGATGATGATGATGATGATGATGATGATGATGATGATGATGATGATGATGCTGATTATGATTATGAACATGATTATGAGCATGATGCTGATGATGATGATTAGTGATGATGATGGTGGTGCTGATGCTGATTATGATGATGATGATGATGATGACCATGATGATGAATGATGGTGATGCTGCTGATGATGACGGTGATGATGATGATGATGATGATGATGATGATGATGATGATGATGATTATGATTATGATGATGATGATGATGATGATTATGATGACGGTGATGATGATGACGACGATGATGACGAGGACGACGACGACGGCGGCGGCGATGATCATAATGGCGATGGTGATGGTGATGGTGATGGTGATGGTGATGGTGATGATGATGATGATGATGATGATGATGATGATGATGATGCATGGTGTCGGCCGGGGACAGGGCAGAGAACACATGGGAAATTGTATGAGAACCAAGGAGAGCATGACGACACAAAACATCACCTATCGGACGTCTTGGAGAGATCCGGCGGACTATCTCGACCAGTCCTGGCTCGCAAGGTCCAATTTTCAATCGGGGGCGCACAAACATGGATTAGCGATCCATGGATCTGGCGCGCGGTCGCCAAATCCATGAATCGGGGGAGGTGCCCTCCCCAAAATGCGGCCGATGCTGCCTTAATCGGCGGCGAACATCCGCCTTTCCCTCTGGAAACGGAACCCGCCGCTAATCCACGCCCCCTTGATCCATCTTTGCGATCGCCTGATTCAGTCGGGGATGGACAGACCTCCCTTTAGTAGAACGTGGTTTAGTGAAAACGACCTCGGGCCCAAACCTGGCGAGCGCAAGCCTGGAAAATGACGGCCGCGGCGCCCTCTCGAGAACCGAAAACGGACAATTCACTAATCGACGTGTCAGGGTAGGAGGTCTGTCCACCCCCGATTCAGGCACCCTGAGGACAGGGCACACGTGGCCAGCTGCGGAGCCCCTGCGCACGCGGGCGCTGACCTTCCTCTGGGGGGGGGGGGGGGGCTCTGCTCTCGCCGGCTTCCGGCAGGCCTGCGCTGGCGGAGCCTCCCTTCCTCGCCCTCTTCGCCCCTCCCCCCGTCTTTCCCTCCTTTCCTCCCTTCCTCGCCCTCTTCCTCCTCTTCTGGGCCCTTTCGTCCTTTCCCTCCTCTTCCTCCCTCCTCTTCCTCTTCCTCGCCTTCTTCGTCCCTTCCCCCTTCCTCCCTTCCTCGCCCTCGTCCTCCTCTTCCGGGCCAGCCCTCGTCTGTGGAGCTCCCCTTTCCCTTCAGCAGGGAAACGGCGCCCCTTGCAGTCCAACGGCCAGTATACGACTGGACCCGGTGCCCTTGCTGGATGCGGAGCCTCCCTCGATTTGACCCAGCCGGCCTTCGCGATCCCTCAGCGCCCGCTTCTGCGGAGGGCGGCAAGAGGAGCCCTTCGGCTCCGCGACGCAGCACCGATGCACGGCGCCGGGCCCCCGAGGGCGGAACCGCGCCTTCCTGGGCACCGGGTGCGGCGCCCAGGCCCCTGTCGGCGGCCCCTGCCTGGGCGGTTGGGGGCCGACGCGTCCCTCCTCGGAGCCCATCCGCCCCGAACGGTGCCCCCGACCTGCGCCGGGGCGGGGGCCCTTTTCGGCACGCCTGGCGCTGCGGTGATTGCCGCTCGCGGCCCGAGTGTCGACGTCACCACTGCAACCGCCAGCATCGTCGTCGCGCTCCTCCTGGGCCAGGTTTCGGCCACTCGCCGCTGCTATGCCGATGGGTAATGCTGAGCCGCTGGCAGAGGATGCGATCGCAACCAAGAAATCATTTCCCATCCAGGCCATGTGTACACCCTCCATGAGAGAGCCTTCCATCCAACAGCCATACAGGGTCAAATAGAAGGCACCACAAAAAACATCCGAATATGAGCGAGCAGTCTCTGCGCACCAGAGCCACAAAAGAGCGGCAGGCAGAAGCTGACGGTGATCATGATTGAGAGCAGGAACAAGTTCAAGACGTTGCCGACGATATGTGTAACTCCAATTACTGCCAGGATACACACGAACATCCAACAAACACGAAGCACATGCGGATACCCTCACCGAACCGACCTCGATCTTATATCTCGGTCCGACCGCACGGTCGGGAACGTTTGCATTGCGTGTCGCGGCGGCGGCCCAGGCGACACGCTATGCCTTGCAAGCGGATGGCGTGTCGCCAGGCTCCGCGGGGCGGGAGGCTCGGAAAACCTTTGGACGTGGACGCCTGGGGGCCAGGATGTGGATGGCGTGTCGCGCCGAAACGCCGTGGGCCAAAGCCTGCGGCGCAACATGTTATCCTGAAGTCCCCGAGCGTACCGTTGTCTCAACCAGCCCTCATCTGAGCAGAGAGGCAGCGCCGAGGCGGAAGGCACCCGCCCGAAGCGCCTGGTGGCTCCCGGGCCTCCCAAAAAAGCCCACGGCCCTCCTCCTCCTCCTCCTCCTCCTCCTCCTCCTCCTCCTCCTCCTCCTCCTCTGGCCTCCTGTGGCCTCCTGTGGGCTCCTCCTCGCTCCTCCTCCTCCTCCTCCTCCTCCTCCTCCTCCTCCTCCTCCTCCTCCTCGCTCCTCGCTCCTCCTCCTCCTCCTCCTCCTCCTCCTCCTCCTCCTCCTCCTCCTCCTCCCTCCTCCTCCTCCTCCTCCTCCTCCTCCTCCTGCTGGACTCCTGGACTCCTGGACTCCTCCCCCCTCCTTCTCCCCGGCCTCCGGCGGCCTGCCTCCTCCGAGCGCGGAGGAGCCCCGCCGAGAGCGGCGGGCGCAGAGGCGCCCCTCCCGCGGACCCGCGCCTGCGGGCTCGGCGGCGGCCCCGCCTCCCCGAGCGGCGGCTCGGCGCCGGCGCCCGCCGGCTCGGGGCCTCGGCGCGAGAGGGCCCCCGCGGCGGCAGCGGCGGCGGCAGGCAGCGGCGGGGCGCGCCCGAGGGCGCCCGAGCGCGCCGAGGGCGAGGGCGGCGAGGAGGGCAGGGGCGAGGGCGAGGGCGGCGGGGACGAGGGCGGCGGGGGCGAGGAGGAGGGCGACGAGGAGGGCCAGGAGGAGGACGACAAGGACCAGGACGACGAGGACGACGACAAGGACGACGACAAGGACGACGACAAGGACGACGACAAGGACGACGACAAGGACGACGACAAGGACGACGAGGGCGAGGGCGATGGCGAGGGCGATGGCGAGGGCGAGGGCGAGGAGGAGGAGGAGGACGACGACGACATCGAGGGAGGGGGCCGATCCAGGCTGCCAGAATCACGCGCGACAGCGCAACCCAGGCCATTCGACGATATGATTTGTTCAATCGCAGCGTTTTTCCTTCGCTTCGGCCTCTGGGGCCCCGTTATCAGGCACCGGGACCAGGACAATCCAAAATCTGCTGGGGAAGGGCATCTACACCCCTGGGGAAGGGGTCGGGAGCCCTGGGGCCGCGGATTCATCATACTGACAAAAAACATATCGGGATGCGCGGGCTCGAGGTTCTCCAACGTTTTGTGGATGCTTCCCGGAGGCTCTCCCACCGCGGGAGCACCTCCAGCCGCTGCGCCTCGCCGACAGCGCGCTCCCGCCGTGCCCCCGGGTCGTCCCCGAGAGGGGGGCGATATACTGGAGGTCCGGGGGGCGGCGGGCCGCACGCCGGCGTGGCTGACCACCGCGCCTCGGCTCGAGGCCTCCTAGATGGGGCCCGAGTAATGGGCAAGCAACGACATATGTACATGTACGCCATCCGCGGTCTTGCCTGCACGAACGTCCGCGCTGACACGCACTCCAGGGGAAGCTAACTGCGTACGTGTACATATGTTGCTGGCCTCTGAAGTAAGTGACATGAAAATACAAAACTCGGAGCTCCGCGCGGATTTCTCGGATCGGCGCTGGGGCCCCCCGGCGGCGCCTCCGGCGCCGCCCCTGGCGCGCTCCGCGCGCCAGGGAGGGGGGTCCAGCGCCGCTCCGAGAAGTCCGCGCGAAGCTCCGAGTTGTTATGTTCATGTCACTCGTTTTCCCTTATAAGTGGGGTCGAACCGTCTCGCCAATGCATCGCTGATGCATCGCCGATGCATCCGCGATGCGTCGTCGGCGATGCACCGGCGACGCCAGCGTGGAGAAGATCCGGCTCCACATCGAGCCGCATCGCCGAGGCATCGGCGATGCGGCACGATCCTCCGACCCCATCTACTCCGACCCCATCTGGGAGACCTAGATCAGCGGACACCGCCCCGCGGCGTCGCGACAGAAAAGAAGCTCACGAACGGAGGCCTCGGCAGCTCTCGGCCGCCGTGGGGTAGGGCACTCTCCGAGACCTGCCCAGACCGCCGACGTCACAGGTTGTTCTGAACGTCGACCCCCAGAGGTCTCGACCCCTTCCCCGGGGACCGGCTTCCCATCCTGCACAGGGCTTGTTGGACGGTCCCGAAGCCCGGTGGGGGCCCCCGGAGGCCGAGAATAGTGAAAGACAGACAGACAGACAGACAGGCCCGCATTCCAGCCCCGAGGGGCGGTCCTCTCAGAGGGCAGGCGCATGGGACACGCAGTCCCTCGCATTGGAAAGACTGTGACTATCAATGCATTGACATGTGTGGAAAACTACATGCATGTACACTACACACGGCCCTCCCATCAATCTTGTTGCATGGCCCGAGGGGGTCTGGGTGCGGGGCTCTCGAGACATGGCTCGGGACGCGGAGCCCCCCGGGTCCACGGGGTGCACGACCTTCGGCGGCCCCGCCCGGCGAGGAGGTCACGCCGCCGGAGGCCCAGGGAGGCGAGCGGACGGGCGG